CCACCAGGTCTCCCTCGTCCCAAGAGTGGACTTTAATCTGGTCCTGCCTCACACTTCCCTCCACTTGACCCCCTCCCAGCATTCCTTTGGAACCATATGTTGTAATATACTCAAAGGGTATGTTTGTTTTTGTACAAATCTTGAAGACACTCAGTTGTTGAAAGATAGTAGAAGCATTTTTCCCTTCAGAAAGAGTTTTAAAAGCCTGAAAATGCCTGTTATATTTTGTTAAAAATGTACTCTAGGACTGGCCTTAAAGTAAGAAGGCATCTGGCTGTATAATGCATACTGTGATGTAAGGGGTTGAAACTTAGACACGGAGAAATAGGAACCAGAATGGGAAAATTTGGCTGGGAGGTGGATAAACAAAAAGGAAATACATGGAGTACCTATGCTCAAGGGGGCAGAAAGGGGTACCGAGTAGGGGTCCTGGTCAGTGAGGACGAGAGGAGAGCCTCTGGTTCCCAAAGAAAGGGATCCCTGGCCATTTCTGTGCTAATGTGAGTAGCTCAAGTGATGAGTGCCACCAAGCTTAGCTTTAGCATAAGTTATCTGTGACTGGGCCTGTCCCAGGAAGTCTTGTATATTGTGGAATAAAACACACACTTAGAGTCTCTTGCTGCGCTATGTCACTCGCATAGACATCCTTCAGTGATTATGTGGTTCATGTCCTGTCTTGCTTGACTCCTTTTTTCTGTGAAGGTCTTCAAGTTGCTTTGGAATATCTACCTAAAGAGCGACCTGTTTTCATGTGGTCATGTAATAAGGTTAGGACAGTCCATCCTGGCCCCTTTCTCAAGAATCAGAAGTGTTTCCCATAGCCATTTGTTATGATTTAGCCCCAGCCATGTGGCCTGGAGGGCACGCGCAGCCAGACAGAAGTATCCCCAGTGCCACTCCTCCCCTTTGTGGAGTTTACCACACCAATTTAGCCTGTGGCATTTTCATGCCAGACCTCCTTCCTGCCAACATTTTCCTCAGTGTCACTGTGAAAAATAAGTCATATCCCTGAATGTCTGCTCTACAGAAGATATTTGTGGTCTCAGACAGTTAAGCTCTTGAACGCATTGTATTTTAACTCATCTATTCACAACCTGTGGAAAGCCAGCCCCATAAAAATTCTAATAATAACACTACATGTTATATAGTGTTTGCTATGTGCGGGGCACTGTTCTAAGCACTTTACCT